CATAGGCAAAAGCCCAGCCAAAGACCAACCAGCCCAGTGTACCCACCTTGGCTGACTTCTGAACCTCTCCGAAAAGTTAAATTTTTAGCCTGCTTATTGCTTACTATAGTTCATGTAGCAATCCAACGTGTTCAAGTCCTAAGAGCCAGCCAGAAGCACGCCAAGCCACCGTAACATTGACCAAGTTCTTCATGAGAACGTTGGATGCGTTCTTTGCGCGGCAGCTGCCGGTCTCCAACATTGCGAAGCCAGCATGCATGAACATGACAAGAGCACCGCAGAGGCAGAGCCAGGCGGAGTCCATCGCACCGCCCATGCTGTATTGCGTGTTCTTCAGCGTCTGCACCTGCGCTGAACCCAGCTTCACTGCCATGCAACAGCTGCAACACTCTGATGCCCGCCTCAGCATCAAATGTAGCTGTTGTAAGCAAGCCAGAGGTTTGAAGCCTGCGAGGGTCCACCAACGTCTGGAAGCGCTCCTGTTGGTCCTGTGAGATTACGAGGCAGTCTCACGGTCTCACGGCCCTTGCTTTTGCTTTCGTCCTTGATCAGCTGCCTTTGCGCCAAGACTTCAGCACGCAAAGACTCCATCTCGTTGAAGACATCGGCACTCACGCTCGCCAGGCCAACCTAAGCGGAGCCTTTCACCTCTCGCAGTCGAGACGATACTAAATCGGCCAAGGCACAGTGAAGAGCAGGCAGCCTCTCATTATGACCTGCGCAGCTCCGGAGGCAGGCTCTGAGATGCAGGCGTCAAGCATCACCTCGGCAGCTGATCGAAAGCACCTGGCGGAACGGGATATGCTTACCACTTCGGCGTGCGAAAGGAAGCAAGGTGTCGCCTCTCCGTGCGCGATTTGCAAGCTGTTTCGAGCCAAGGTCTTGCGAATCTGCGAATCGGCCGGACAGGCCCACATAGGCCCGCACAGGACTGTACTCTCCATCGGCAGCTCATGTGCATCATTCCAAGGATAGCCTTTGTAACTTTCGCAGGAGGGTTTCTGAACTCTGAACATTCAGAACTCACGGTCGGCACGTAGGCTTCGCCAATGGTGGCAACCGAGCAAACTGTTCAACGCGAGGAACTTGCCTTGAAAAGGCTGCTTCGAGAATAGATCGTTAGCATTATCTGACTCCCAATCTCAGCCTTTGTTGAAAGGCAGTCCGTAGAAGTACAGTCAGCGCGGGCACTTGGACTTTCTTCTGCTCGGTCCTGAACACCGTGTCACTGATTGCCTTGTCGCAAAGTGCCCTACTTCGGCATATCTCACGCTGTCTTTAGCACAAGATGCCAAATTAAGGGAAAAGGTGGTATCGTCCCAGCTTCTGAGCAGCTCCACTGCTCCTTGAGCTGAGGTCTTGCTAGCTAAAAGCAGCTAAATTCCTCCGGTCCTCCCTACCTCGTTTCAGTGATCCTCACATGTCTTACTGCATGGCGTAGGCCTTGGGTGGTGAGTGGCTCTGGGTGTCGATGCCCACGGCTTCCACCTCCTCGGAGATTCGGAGGAGCCCCGTGAGCTTGAGGACGAAGAAGGCGAGGCCGGAGAGCGTGCCGGACCAGACGATGACCATGCCGATCAAAGCGAACTGCGCGCCGATGGCGTCACCGCCCAAACCGGTCTTGCAGGCAGTGCCCTCGGTCACGCAGCCCCATCCTGGCCGCAGGCCGCAGCACAACACAACACTGAAGCAAAAGCAAACCTGCTTGGAATGCTCATTACAAAACAGAAGCTGAGCTCATACCGTCGCCTGTCCTGACCAACCGTGGTACTGGTCAATGCCCTTGCCCCAGTCGAGGAAGCCGGCCGCCAGCACGCCCCAGATGCCACAGAAGCCGTGCACCGGGCTGGCATCCACAGGGTCGTCGATCTTCAGCTTCTGCAAGAGCATGGAAGAGCCCTCGTACACGAAAGCACCAACCAATCCGATGGCGAAGGCGCTGCCGCACTCCACGTTGCCGCATCCAGCGGTGATGGACACAAGACCAGCCAGGATACCGTTGCAGAGGCCACCGACATCGTACTTCTTCGTGATGACATAACGCAGCAGGAAGACCGTAATGCCGCCGGTGGCAGCAGCCAGCGTGGTGTTCATAGCCACTTGGGCTGCCAAAGCTCCTGTGGCCCCATCGTGCATGCCAAGTGTGGAGCCCGGGTTGAAGCCATACCATCCGAACCAGAGCGCAAAGGTGCCCAGCACCACCAGAGGCAAGTTGTGGCACTCGAACTCTTCCGGGTTCTCGAAGCGACCCTTGCGCGGGCCGAGCACGATCGTGCCTGCCAGAGCACTGACACCGCCCGTCAAGTGCACAACTCCGCTGCCCGCGAAATCCATGTAACCAACTGAGGTGATGGTGGCCAAGAATCCTCCACCCCACGACCATGCGACGATGATCGGGTAGATAAAGCTCGCCATAAAGAAGGCATACACCGCATAAGTGGGGCTCTTCACACGCTCCGCCACGCCACCACTCACGATGGTCGCGCCGGCAGTACAGAATGCCCACTGGAAGAACCAGCTCAGCATCGTGCTCTGGCATCCGTCTGCATCACACGATGCCAGGGGCGAGATGACACCGGTGGTAGCATCAATGGTGTAGAATCCGATGCCGAAGAAGCCGTCTGTCCCGATGAAGCCGTTAGCAGGTGTACCCTGACTGCCATAGGCAAAAGCCCAGCCAAAGACCCACCAGCCCAGTGTACCCACCTTGGCTGACTTCTGAACCCCTCCCAAACTCGCAAAAGTTAAATTGTTTGCCTACTTGTTTCTTATCATGGTTAATGTAGAAATCCAAAGGCTTAAAGTCCTAAGAACCAACCAGCAGAACGCCAAGCGACGCACACGTTCCTGAGCGCAAGCGATGTGTTTTACTTCGATGAAGTACCCGAGGATACCAGGGAAAGTTGCTTTATTACATGCTCTCAACCTGTCTACTCAAGCTTACTTGCTTCTAGAATCTAGAATATGTAGAGGCTGGGTCCAACGCAACAACGACTTCTGGCCTAGCTTCACCAAGTTCTTCATCAAAACGTTGGAAGCATTCTTCACGCGGCAGCTGCCGGTCTCCAACATTGCGAAGCCAGCATGCATGAACATGACAAGGGCACCGCAGAGGCAGAGCCAGGCGGAGTCCATGGCACCACCCAGGCTGTAATCCGTGGCTTGCAGGGCGGCCACCTGCAACTGGATTGGAGCAAAGGCTCAGACCGGAGGACCCCCCGCCCGAGAAGCCCGCCTGCGTGTTGAACTCCGTTCGCGTCACCCAGCCGCTGGTCCTTGTTTCAGCCGTCGGGCGGAGGCTGAAAGCAGTTGGCGCTTAGTGCTCGACACCCCACTCCACTCCACTCCCCTCTCAACTTCCCTCTCCCCTCTCCACTCCCCTCTCCACCCCTCACTCTCTACTCCATTCCACTCCCCACTCCACTCTTTTCCATTCCACGGCACTGCAGCTGCCGGGCATCCCGCAGGGCCAAGATCTCGGCACGTTGCTCCTATGACGAGAAACTGTAGAATCTGCAGAAAGAGACGAGCAGCCAACGAAAGTCTCCTCCAAGGAAGCCTGGCGTTGCCGGATTTCAGCTCGAAGGGCCTGCACCTCTGCTACAAGCGCCGTGTCGTCTGCAAGAGCGACCTCAGCTGCGCAGATGCGATGGCAGTTGCCACACCGCCAAACAAGTTAAAACAGCTTCAGAGATCGGGACAGCGAGTGCCGCAACAATTGCTGCAACAGAGAGCTTCATCATGCTTCGCCTCATGACGTGGCAAACAGGTTACCTTTGACGCTGCAGTACCTCTGTATAAGGTCGTGGCACACACACCGATACCCGGCCAGGAGAATAGGGAAAGTGATGTGCTTGGGCCAGGAGCTGCTCGAAAGCATCGCTTTAGCTCTGCACTATCAATTCCAGAAGAAGCGAGGAGACCCTTCTCAGATGAGCTGCATTGTTAGGGTATGCTCAGTGAACGAGCTCCTTGTGGCAAGGTGCGTGGAGGTGGGAGGTTGTGGATTCCGTGTTGTCGTCTGCAGGATGTGCCTTGTGAACTCTGACATATTGTGCCCGGGGCATGGTTGCGCTAGAAAAAACTTAGCATTTGGTGGTCTTTGCAGGACACACCTGGTCCTGCGTCCGTTAACATGAACAAGAAATGAATGAATGAATGTGTGTATGAATGCATGGATGCATGAATGAATGGATGCATCAACGAATGGATCCATGAATGCATGACTGAATGCAGGCCATAAATGCATGAATGCATGAATGAATGAATGAATGAATGAATGAATGAATGAATGAATGAATGAAGGAATGAAGAAATGAAGGAATGAAGGAGTGAAGGAATGAAGGAATGAAGGAATGAAGGAATGAAGGAATGAATGAATGAATGAACGCATGAGAATGAATGGATGGATGGATGGATGTGACTGAATGGATGGATGGATGGATGAGTGAGTGAGTGAGTGAGTGAGTGAGTGAGTGAGTGAGTGAGTGAGTGAGTGAGTGAGTGAGTGAGTGAGTGAGTGAGTGAGCGCATGAGTGAGTGAATGAATGATGAGCGCATGAATGAGCGCATGAATGAGTGCATGAATAAGTGCATCAATGAATGCATGAATGAGTGCAAGTGCATGAAACATGCATGATTGAATAAATGATTGAGGAATGAATGACTGAACGGATGCATGAATGAATGTATGAACGAATGAGGTCAAAAATGCATGATTGCATGAACGAAGGACCGCATGAAGGCATGAAGGCATAAAGGCATAAAGGCATGAATGAATGAATGAATGAATGAATGAATGAATGAACGAATGAGCGAATTAATGAATTAATGAACCAACGAATGAATGAATGAATGAATGCATGAATGAGTGAGCGCGCGAGCGAGTGAGTGAGTGCGTGCATGCGTGCATGAATGAATGAATGACTGAACGAATGAATGAATGAATGAATGAATGAATGAACGAACGAAGGTGCGTTTATATATATATATATCATACATACATATCAACACTCCTGGCCCCCCCTCCCCCCCTCTACATAATGTAATGAATACGACAATCAGACAACGAGCACGTATCAGGCGAGAGTTAACAATCGAGATTCATTTAAAAGTATAGGAAAACGTGGCACATGACAATGAACAAATCCAACAAACTCAAACATGCTGAAAGCATGATATACCGGAACACCGTGTTTTTAAACAAACCCTGTGAACGAAAACATGCGCGCACCTGCACCGATAGAGCGACCCACTGACACAGAAACCCACACAACACCACTCGAAACATACAAAACCATTGAACATGGTGGGTTTCAACAACGCAAGCCCCACAGCCTCCTCTTCTGTATATGTATGTGTGTATATATATATATACTGATACATTAATATTTGGTTTCAGGCGCGATCGCGTCCCATTGTTTTGAAGCTTTTCCGGCTTCCAGTTGCGATCCTCATGAAGTACTGCCTGCCTGCATTATTTTGGCGGCGGACGACCGTAAATACAAACCAAAACCTAGAAGACAACAAAACAAACAAATCAAAACAAAAAACAACAAAACTGATACTCGTGCAAAGAGGTTAGGTATTCTCTCAAAGTCAGGAGTTTGGAAATGTTGTTTTTTTGTTGTTTTTGGCTGTGGTGTTTTTGGCTTTTGGCTTTTGTGCTTTATGTTTTTGGCTTTGGTTTTGGTTTGTTTCACATTCCCGGGTGGCGCAGCTGATTTCCCAAGCGCCGCTCTCAGGGGGCCTGTTTGAAGGATCCGGCTTCGCTCAAAATTGGAGACAGCACACATGAAAAATCTTATCCAACATGATGGTGAATAATATTAGGTTGCTAATTTAGGAACTTCAGCAACTGGGGACAGTGCAGGCATGTTTCTTAAATATCGTAAATTACAGTAGCCGCTGAATGCTACTTCATAGCATGTCAATTACATGGTCCAAATCATATACAAGCGGGCACAATTGGATATAATGAAACACTCGGAACACGAGCAGAGAGAACCCCAGACCCCCTTAAACCGTAAACCCCAGCAGCAATGAAGTCTACCACCGGAATGGAGTTTGGAACGAGGTTCCAATCACCTATCATCAAGGCTTTCTCCTGAGAAGCGGCTGCGACAAGTTCACGATTGCCAGAGGTGACAAGGCTCAGCGTAGCTCTGCAGCTTCTCGGGAGCAAGCAGCCACTTGGCAATGACTGCCAACCCAGCAGTGGGATGGCCATCAGATCGAAGGGACGGCCTAGCAGCATAGAACTGAAGTTTGCGTTTCCGCGCCATACGCTCAACGGCATCAAGAGAGTCCCTGCCGAAACAGATTTCCTGCAAACAAAGGACAAAGAACGTCCAGTTTGCTTTTTGAAACAAGTTAAAGAGAAATTCAACCGAATTCCTCAGTCCTTGAAGGCTTTACGGTCGCCACTTCGAGTGAGGCAGAAGCTGAGCCGCCTTTCCACAGCCAGAGTCCTGCACTTCAGCGCTACCCGCCAGACGGGCGACGTAGCGCGAGAGCCTCAACTCTCTCCTCCAACTGTTACTTGTTCTTGCAGTTACGGGGCAGCCTTGATGCCGATGCTCTTGAGTGGGCGCATCCCGTTGCACACTCTCTACAGTTTTGTGGCAGGATCCAGGCAACTAGGATCGGGATACAGATCCCACAAGTGGTGCACACAACGAGCCGAGGCAAGGATTGCACAGGAGGGAGAGAAACGGCGCCATAAACAGCATGTTTCTGCTGCACTTCGTCAACTGTGAGCAGCTTAGTGACCATGCGCAGGTTGACCAGGCATCTTGCGCAAGGCAACTGACTAGCCGGCGGACGCGGCGAGCATCCACCAAAGCAACTCCCGAGCATGCTTTCTTGAACAGCTTAGGAAGATGGGTCATGCGCTTGCAAGTTCTGCAAATGAACATCCTGACGGTTCCAGCCTGATTTGCAGCAGCAAGCCACACAATCTCAACCGGATCGTGTCCGTTGGTGTCTTGCACGAGCCTCATGCTCTTCACGACACGAACATTTCACAAGGAACTGAAAGCGGTTCACATGCTGAATTTCTTCTGACGCCCTACACCCTTCAAGAAGTCTTGCTTATGCTTGTCAGAGTTCTCGCTCGCTCCCTGCGGCGCATGCGAATGCCCCAATCATCTTTGGAGGCGCCATAGAGAGCGGCGCAACGCTTGCATTTCCAGCTGGGCTTCTGTCCAGCGAAACTTGGCTGCCACCGGTCCACTCGTAAGTGATCGGGAGCCTCCTTGGGCCGCCAGAACAAAATGATGTGCCTACGAATGCGCCTAACCAAAGTAGACGTGCGCTTAAGGATCAAATTACATTTCGGCACTTCCAGGGCCCTGTAGGCTTACGAGAAAACTGATCCGCCATTGCTGTTGCATTGGGAGGGTCAGCAGCGTCATCCTCCAGATCTTCAAGACAGGCCTCGGACGGCGCAAGGTTGATCGAGTTGAAAGCCGAAGACCTGTGACTGTCCGGCCTACACGACTCCGTCTTCGCCTTTTTTGAGCGAGGGGCAGCAGAAGGTCTGTCGCTGTCAACTTCCCAAGACCGGACCATAGCGGCAGCAGAGGGTCTGTTGCTGTGTGTGCCGTGTGTGAGCCTCATCCTCGGAATCGCCACCACCTCAGCCCCCGGTGTATTCGCCGGCTGGAGTGGCAATCATCAATTGCCAATCAACAGTTCGTAGTGCTGTTTGCAACACCACAGGTGAATTGTACGCGAGTGCCGTATGGCCGCGAGTTCCAAGCTTCCTCCCCAAGCGCTGGTCTGTTTGAGGAGGCTAAGGTAATTTTCCCAGGAGTCGCACGGGTCTTCCCGAGTCTTCCCGCTTGCAAGGGAAAACTCGCCCCAGCAAGGACGAAACTGGCGCTCGTACTACTGTCAGCTGGTCCGCAACGGTAACCCGAAGCGTACGGTGCGTCAACGGGTTGTCGTGCCGGGACAGAGCTCTGTTGGGGCCAGTTGGGGCCGACAGGCAGCTTCAATTCCCTTTGACTTCAGTGGGGACAACTGTCATATGGTCGAGTGGATTGTCACACGCAGAGTCCTTCTTAGCACGCTTGGTTTTGGCATCTTTACCAGGCGAGGCACATGCTTCAGATTCTTCTTCTGCTCTTCTCCTCCATCTTCATCGGCCTTGGCCTCTACATCCATGGACTCAGCGTCAATCTGCGTGGAAGGAACCGCAGGAGGTGAGGCGGCGACGGCAGTGGCTTTTTGTCGGTTCAAGCGAGTAACAGCACTGTTGTCGTAGCAAGGCGTCGTCTTGCCACCAGGCGTCGTCTTGCCACCACTTGTACGCGTTGCATCGACGACAGCAACCAGGGAGCAGTCGTCAAACTTGATCTCGAAGTAATCATCTTTGGGGCAAGTCTACCAAGTTGTCTCCGTCGCGGGGTGACCCCATACTAGGACCAGCGGCGAGGGCACGAGCAAGGTACTCTTCACAGGTTTCGTCAGGGCGAAGCACAATCCACTGCGTTTGAGGCGGCGGCATCCAGCCCTCAGGCCGCTTCAACGGCTCAGCTTGGCGAGTTCGGCGACTAACTCTTCGTCAACATGCAGCAGCCCCCATGATGACAGTGGATTTGTACTCTTTCTTGCTGAAGTTCCAGGCAAGCACGAGCAGCCGAGGACCGCATGACGACGGTTTCAGCAGGCGTGGGAGTCTTAGCAGCTTTCTTGACACGACTTGGCTTCATGCTGATGTCACATGTCTCCGTGACACGATCCACGATAAGCATGCGCGGCTTGACTGAGCCACCGACCTTCACAGGAGCCATCAGTATCTCCTCTTGCCCAGCCTGAGCAGCAGGAACGTCCTTGCAGGGCCGTAGGACAAGCACTTGAAGGTCAAACGCCTTGTCCTCCCGCGTTTCCTCCGTGATTGCACGTACCAGCTGAAGCTCATCTTCATCACTGGCAAGCACAAGCAACGGCGAAGTCCAATCGTCAGGAGTGAACCACTGCGGAGGGCTGCTTACGCTCCGGGGCGTTAAGGGCAAGAAAAGGGGGAGCCGGCCATCTGACCGCAGCCTGGCCACTCGGTGGTGTTTGCGGCTTGCTCGCTGGCGCAGATGTTGGTGTCACATGTTTGCAGGTTGCAGTAGCAAAGTACCAACAAGGTGGGCTTTGCTCCCCCGGGACCCTTGCTGGTGCTTCTCTGGCAGCAACAGGCGCTTGGTGTTGACCTGAGGCCTTCTTCCTTTTCTGGGAACACCAGCGGAGAAACACTGTAATCAGAGGAACAAGTTCAGCAGACAAGGCGCAGTTCGAAACATTACCCTTCAACTTCTGCTCTCTAGCGATAACGTCGGGTGGCTAGCGAGCCGCCTTTAGCACCACCTCTCCACACGCCATGCGAGCTGTCCCAACATCCAAGATAGTGCATGTTAGCACACGCAGGTTCAAAGTGCAGTCCGTCAAAAGTGAGAAAAGGCGCTGGGCCCGAGACACCAATGTGCTTCGTCATGTTACCATACCGAATCTTGCAACGAATGCCAACAGCCTGACACAACACAGCGGCTTCAAGAGATGAAGCCCGGGCTCCTTCACATGACAATTTGCGCAAGTACTCCTCCCACGTGCATGGGGAGGAACACTCACTCGGGCTCATGCCATCCCAAAGAACTCTAAGCGGTGCCGCAGGACCGCACAATGCTGAAACAACAATCTGTCTGAGCGCTTGAGCGCCTAAATTTTTTGGATCTCAAGCCCTTGAGACAACGCTGCGAAGAAGCAATTACCGGGCACTTGTGGAGGCTTAGGCTTGCTGAAGTTACCCGTAAACCACTTAGTTATATGCTTGCACGTCTTATGCCGTTGACAAGGTCTGCGTCGAGAACAGACCCCAGCGTAGGCCTGCGAAGGTGCCAACTGCAAACACAATCAAACAGCATGGCTCCATCAAACAAATGAACTGAAAGAGAAGCTGGAGCGTATGCCACATCCAAGGACCGAGCACAATCCACCAGTTCCCCAGATGATTACTTCCCATGTTCGCGATCTGAAAGATCCCCGAACACATCACATGTGGAGGTGCTGAAAAAGTGCCCATGAAAGCTTGCCAGGCAACGAACAGAGCGTCATGGCCGTTTTTTGCAAGGACTTTGACGACATCGGCACAGTCGACCTTCAGGCAGATCAGGCAGCACTCAAGCAAGAAGGTGCCGTCGTGGCGCCAGTTCCATTTAAAGCCGTTGGCTGAGTGGAACGCTGGCGCCCTTTCTTGAGCAGCCCATGGCGTGGCATGCCACTCCTGCCACACAGCAGCCTACAAACATTTGAAACACAGGTGTGTGTACAACGATATATGTATATATATGTACATTGGTATGCTTATTCTCCTTGTTTATTTACTGTTACTATGTACATGCTGACATGCTACGTGTACTTACCATGTATGTGTGCATACGTGGGTGTATATATATATATATATCTACACATGCACACACATATACTCAATATGTCAACATCATACATACGGTAAGTATACATTCCACATACCTTACATACTACATCTGTGTGTACTAGTTACTAGCTATATCTCTATACATGCATACTGCAAACATACACCGTACGTATATTTACTTATGAATGTGTATATATATATACATGTGTGTATGTATGTATGTATGTATGTATGTATGTATGTATGTGTATATATATATATGTGTGTATGTTATGTACTCTACATACATACATACATACATACATACGTATATACATTACCTACATTCATATGTATTCTGCTACAAAAAGCTCTACATGTACACTCTATCTCAACATATATGTATATACTGTGTTTTGCGCAATTTAGAGAGAGAGAGAGAGAGAGAGAGAGAGAATATGTACACATACATATACATATGCTTATACATATACATGCACATATACATATACGTAGACACATATACATATGTATATATATATCATGATATTTATTTAACTGGTATTTAGACACTCACACAGAGGCTTGGCTTGACTTGGCAGCGGGGGTCGGGGGTTGGGTGGGAGGGGGCACCTCCACCCCCATGCACATCTCCCACCGGGAACATACACGTATGAATATACATATATATACATCTATATATATATATACATATATATATACATATATATATATATACATATATTTATATATATATATACATATATATATATACATATACATAATATGTCCTGGTGAAGTGGCCTGAGTCTATTGGGGAAATGAATGGTGAAATGAAATGACTTGACCATATGAAGGAATTGAAGGGTGAAATGGAAAGACGGGGGGATATAGCGTTACCCGTACATACATATATATATATATATAGAAAGAGAGATCTACATATTTTGTTTACCCCCATATAACTTATCATACAAATAAGGTATATTATATAGACATACATACACAAATATGTGTAAATACATTATACTATTCACAAATACAAGTGCATACATACAAATATAGAATAAACTTATCACATATATATAATATATATATATATAGTTACATAGCTATGTAATGCTATGTAATTTCATAAGTACTACATCGTACTATATGTAAAAACTACTGTATCTAAACTGTACCATATAACTATATATACTCTCAACTACGTGTCTCTGCAAATCGAAATGTTGTCGTTGAAGTTCTTGGGTTGCGGTTTTCTCCTCTTCCTGCTTTCCTTCTGACCCTTCTTGCTTCCCTCCCTTCCTTGCTTCCTTGCTGCGTTTCTGCCCGAGACACGGTCAAAGTCCACATCACGCTGCCTCTGATAGCTAGCCGCTGCACCTCCAAATGGTCCAACTTCATGGCTTCCTTGACTCAAAACTGTCGGACTAGATGGGTATGTTTCATTCTATTTCGAGACCTGCAACCTCTGCATATCCGGGCACCGTTTGCTGTCGAATCCTGTCATTCAGACCAACACGCCGGGCACTGTACAAGCCCAGATTTTTCACGGAATGCACCGCAAGCGGAAGCAAGCATTTGCAGAGCCTCACTTGGCATGGTCGGACATCTTATTGAAATTTAAAACTGTGGTAAACTTGAGCACCAAGGAGTTGTCGCGGACAATCACGGCTGTCATGCAAAGCACATTGCGTTCTGTTGATAGAAACGGCCAGGATCAAGACTTTTTCTTGTTTGTGATCAGAATTTACCATGTCGGTTGTGTGACGCAGATCTCTCTTTCGGTGCTTTCGGCGGTGCGGTGTAGACAAGGACTGTGGTGTTCGACATGCAAGGTTGGGTTTTCGAGATGCAAAGCTGGCGCCCGAGTTGCATGGCAGCAAGCAGCTTGCATCTCGAAATCCCACCTGTCCCGGTCGAGCCAAGACGCCAACCGACCTGTGCCGGTTGAGCCAATACGTTTTGCATCTCGAAAACAGACCCTACGATTTCACTACTGTACTATTGTACTATGTTTACTGTTTACCATGTACTACTTTTTTACTATTTACTGTTTCATTATTCCACCACGCTCTCAGCCGTTTGCATCTCGAAAAACCGAACTGTGCCGATTGAGCCAGGATTTTATTGTTTTACTTGTTTTTAGTATTTCACTCCTGTACTATGGTACTACTTACTTGTTTACTATCTTTTTACTATTCACTGTTGACGATTTACTATTTCACTGTCCTACCACGCCCCCAGCCGTTTGCATCTGGAAAACCGAACTGTGCCGATTAAGCCGGCATGTACCCGCGCAGGTTGAACCCAGGCAACCAAAAAAGTTTGCATCCCGAAAACCCACCTGTGCATGTTGAACCCCAAGTTTGTCTGTTGAGCCAGGGGATCCCAGACAGATATGGTTTCGCCGTGCTCGTGCACGAGGTGCATCCAGTGAGTCTGTTGGCCATGCCCTTCTTTCCCAAACCTCTTGCTGCAGTGCTGAGATCGGGTATCGTGCAGGCAAGCTGGGTCCCTCGAGGAAGCAAGACTCTCAATGCATGCACTTGCAGATAGCGCCATGCCATCGTAAACAGGACCCAAAGAGCTGCTGCCTCGGGGACTAGCTACCAGTACAGGCCAGTTTTTTGGCACTGTAGTGAGAGCTCCACTCCCACTTCGAAAATAGAGGTGCTTCGCACGGCTGAATGCTTTTTGCGGAATCTGAGCAATCGTAGGCTATTTTGCCTAGACTGTCTTCTCAACTTCATTCCCTGCTGGGCTTGCCGCAGCAGGACCCCCAATTGCGTAGGCTTTCGGTGGCGAGTGCTGCTTGACGTCCATGCCGACCTCTTCTGTGTACTCGTCGATGCGAAGCAGTCCGGTCATCTTCAGGGCGAAGAATGCCAAACCCGACAGGGCTCCAGCCCACAGAATGATCACGAGGACCATGATGAGCTGTGCAGCAATGGCGGTGCCACCGATGCCGGTCATGCATGACGAGTCGGTGTCGCTCACTGGCTTGCAACCAAAGCCTGACCAGCCATGGTAGTGGTCAACGCCCTTGCCCCAGTCAAAGAGTCCGGCTGCCAGCGCACCCCAGATGCCACAGAAGCCGTGCACTGGGCTGGCATCCAC